GCGGCGACGGCAGCCTCACCGGGGCCAACATCTTCCGCTCCGAGTGGGGTGGCCTGCTGGAGGAGCTCGTTAAAGATGGTGCGTGCAGCTGATAACCCCCGGGACGGGCCTCATACTGACAAGGGTTTGGGCACGGGGTGGCCGGGAGGTCCTTGGAGGGAGAGCGCTCGAGAGGCACCCGAATCGAGGGAGCCTGAGGCAGAGACCAAGCTTTGCTCTGGAGCTTTTAGCCTCCCAAAGAAGCTTGTCTGGATCAGAAAACTGTCAATTCCTGCTTTCCTTGGGAGTTTCTTGCAGGATTCATCCCTCCCTCCTTGCCCCCAACCATTAAATTAGAATAGATTACATTTGTTTCCTAATCTGGCCCCGGTTTCCAGTCTCTGGCCACCATTCTGCTGTCTCAGTGCGCTGGAAATCCCACGTGCTCAGGTGCTCTTGGAGCCCAAGGCTGGAGCCGCTGAAGTCTCCCCTGCGTCTGATCAGCAGGAGCAGGAGCTGGGAAGCGTGGCCCTGTGCCGGAGCCAAAGGGGAAGCCGCTTCCTGAGGCTTGGCTGCGCGCTCGGGCTTGTTGACGTCTTCAAAGGGATCAGCCCCACAGAGGAAATTAGGGAGCAATTAAAAAGGGTTCAGCGGCGGTGAGAGAGGCAAGGGGGAAGCTGGACCTTGTTAGGCAAAGGCTGGCAAGCGTGACCGTCAAACACCCGGTTTGTGGTCCGTAAAGCCGGAGGAGAGAGATGTGGAGGGGCTTGAGGAAGGAGGAGGAGATGCCGCTGTTGCTTGTCCCGCACCGGCGCTGCCCTTGGGGTGGGAGATGCCCCGTTTCCCCAAGCCTTGCTCTGCCGGAGGCTCTCGAGGGGCACTAGAAAGGGCCCGCCGTGTCACCCGCAGGGCAGATCAGCGAGGCCGTGGCCAAGGAGTACTGTCACCTCAACATCGTGGGCCTCGTGGGCTCCATCGACAACGACTTCTGCGGCACCGACATGACCATCGGCACCGACTCGGCGCTGCACCGCATCATGGAGGTGATCGATGCCATCACCACTACGGCCCAGAGGTGAGCGGGCCCCGCCGCCCGCCCCGTCCGCGGTGGCTGGTGGAGAGGGCGCTCATGCCCCTTCTCTCCTCTTGGTCTCTTTGCAGCCATCAGAGGACCTTCGTGCTGGAGGTGATGGGCAGGCACTGCGGGTGAGAGCTCCGGGATGTGGAGAAGCCCTTGGGCGAGCGTCGGTGGGGCTGGCGCTGAGGGAGGGACGAGCAGCTCAGTGCACGCGGGATGGTACCAGCAGGGACCCCGGAGCCACATCAAGGGTCCGGGGGGCTGCCCAGGGTCTGTGCCGTGCTGCGCAGTTGTGTCCTTGAGCGGGTGGGATGCCAAGGGACGAACATGTTGTCACCTGGTGCCATGCTAATGCCTTCTGTTCCCTCCAGGTACCTGGCGCTGGTGTCCGGGCTGGCCTCAGGAGCTGACTGGCTCTTCATCCCCGAATCACCGCCGGAGGACGGCTGGGAGGACCTCATGTGCGAGAGGCTCGGGGAGGTGAGAAGGGGTTTCCTTTCCCTGCTGAGAGGGTCATTTGCCTGGTCCAGGCCTTTGGTGCCTCTTTTTTCTCCCGGGCGAGAGCCTTCCCAGCAGATCCAGGCTGGAATAACTCAGTGTTTTGCCCAAAGCCCTGGCTGCGGCGGTGCTCGTCCGCTGCGACGTTTCGGGAGCTTGCGCTATTGTGTCCGTGAAACGGAGCGCTCAGCCGGATGCAAATCGGGCTGGCGCGAGCCAGCGGGCGCCCTGCAAAAGTCTGGCCTTGGCTCCCGCTTTGCGAAGCGCCCGAGCGGGAAGGGGGACGTGGCCGCGCTCGCGCTTGCGGCTCAGCCGGGCTGCCCGGCCTTCCTCCCTTGTGCCAGACACGCAGCAGGGGTTCGCGGCTCAACATCATCATCATCGCCGAGGGCGCCATTGACCGCAGCGGCAAGCCCATCTCCTCCAACTACGTCAAGGACGTAAGCGCCCGCTCGAGTGCCCTGTCCCCTTGCAGCGGCTGTGGCCGCCGTGTGCCCTTGCCCTGATGGCCCCTTTCGTGTGCCATGCAGCTCGTGGTCCGGCGCCTGGGCTTCGATACGCGCGTCACCGTCCTGGGCCACGTGCAGCGTGGGGGGACACCATCAGCTTTTGACCGTATCCTGGTAGGTTTTGCAGAGGGCACAAAGGGGCAGAAGCATAAGCATGGTGAGGGAGTCCTGGGGTTGTGCAGCATGAATTGTGGATGCCATGGGTCTCAGGGACCCCATTCCTGGCATCCCTGTGCCAGCTGTGAAGGACTTGCCAGCTCAGATAGCGCTGACGTGCTCCCTGCAGCCATGCCAGGCAGCATGGGGCACCTGCTTCTCTAATCTGCCTCTGACTTTACTGCTCTTAAATAACCCGGCAGCTCCCTGGCCACAAATCAGACTAATGGAGCTGCACAAACAGCCTCATGACTTCCAAGCACGTGTTCACCCCGTACAAACACGAGCCCGGGGAAGGTCTTGCATCAGCAGGCTGACTGGGAGCTTCCCAATGTGCATCCCTGGCTGGCAAGCGGGGCCACCGGGATAGTGTCCGTGTAGCGGGTGGGCCACGGCATCCCAGGGCCTTGGTGTCCCCTCTGCAGAGCAGCAAGATGGGGATGGAGGCGGTGATGGCACTGCTGGAGGCCACGCCGGACACCCCCGCCTGCGTGGGGAGCCTCTCG